CTTTGGAATTATCCATAGAAGAAATAACTTGACCGCGAGCAGGGATAGGAGGCAAAGAGCTATCTGAATAACTCAAATGATGATGCAGGGGTCAGGGGAAGGCTTAGGAAGTTGAAAAAAGGTACCAGAGAAAATGATGTAAGCAGAACACAAATAATTTCAGAAAAGACTTACCAACTTGTGACTTGATTATGTACAGTAGCAGTAGAAAAATACGCTAATCAGTTGAATATTTCTAAATTATTTGTCCTGACTTGTTAAACTGAAATGCATTTCAACTTTCCACTATGGCCTAGAAGTGGCATGCTTCCATTTTTACTACTGAGAAATGCCTATATTGACACTTTTGTTTTGTTTTTTGCTTAGCCATGTCTTCTAATCCCATATGTTCAAATGTAAAACAAAGCTATAAGTAAACCAGTTTTTACTGTCTTCTGCTTTAACTGCTTCCTTACTTGCCTGTGCGGAGGCTTTCTATTAAGATGCTAAAGGAACTCATTTCAGGCAGTTTAAGTTGTATTGGTAGGTATTACTTTGACTTACTGTTTTTGTACTATCTGCAGTCTTGCATAAAAACATGGTTCACTGGTTTTTGGCAGTTACTTGTATGCGTACTAGCTTGTACAACACACTGTAGATCAGAAGACTCAAGCGGACACTTAGAGGTGATCAAAGTGATCTAAGTGGAAGGCAGCAGCTCTGAAGCCTGTTCTGTATCAAATGATTGAGTACAGGTGGATATGGGATCTATGTTTTGTAGCTGAGGGATATGAGGAAGTCGCCTGGCAATGGAACAGTTCAAACTGATTGTAGAGGAGGAAGTAACATAGCTTGAGGTATGGTTGCACTGAGGTCCTGCTTTCAAAAGAACTAGGGAGTAGGAAATAAGGTTGTCTTGGGAAGTTAGGCTTTGCTTAATATAGATCAAGGATTGCTTTTTTTTGGCAATGACCTTACTAAATTCCTCTGTGTGTTGTTTGGCTGAAACCCCAGCTTTTTGTTTTCACCTGTTCTAGTACTAAAAGCTTTTCAGCATCAGTTGATAAATAGTCCTGCTATGAGAACAAGAGGTTTTGATTAAGCGCTGTTCTCTGCTCTGAGGCTGAACTGGTACTCATGTTCTCAGGCGCTTGGATTCCTCCTCATTTATGTTGTGACACAAAACAAAACTATTTTGTAAATTTTCATGGCTGAGTGTATCTAGAATCTTTGAAGATATTATAATTGGTTTAAAGCTCGTAAACAGCAGTACAGAAGTGTCCCAATAAGATTGTGGATGACACATTTGCCCTTTGCTATAGGTGACAAGTAAAAGGCAACAGTGAGTGTATAGCTCCAGCTGCAATGTTTTTTCTAGCCTATCTTAGACTTGATGCAGGGGGAAAGGAAAGGAAGTACTTATTTGTTCCCTTACCCAGATACCAAATGATACCCCACTGGAGGCATGCTTTTAATTTAAGTTAGGTTGATACCACTTGATAAGGCTCAGCTGGACTTTGTAAGTTGTGAGCTCAACTACTGGTCAGTGTTGGTATTCTCCTAATCATTGGCCAAGTGCTGGTTAATAGACTAGAAATGAGGTGTCTGTTGGTCCGTAATCAGTTGAGGTACAAGGAAAATCCAGGTAAGAACACAAGGATCATTTCTGTGAAAGGCCTGAGTCAACTGAGTCTCTGAAACTGTGTAAATATAGGTTGATATTAATTGCAAATCATTTATGGTTCAATAGTCTCAATAGCACTGTGGAGATACAGGATGAACTAAGGTAGAACAAAGGTCTTCAATATTAGCATTTTCAATCTCATATTTAATGAGACTGGAGTTGAGGTTGAATTGGGAAAAGGAGTGTTTTTTCAACCACTTATCTAAGTCTGTGTTATGCATCACTTCAGAAGACACATATTTCAGAGGAGATCGGATACCTTTCTACTGGCCTTAGTTGGCAGAAGGTAATGAAGTAATGCAAGCTTCAGGCTCTTGGTCTTAATTGTTTTTAAATATCTATTTCTTGTATGGCTAATATCTAGTGGGAGTTTGCTGTGGAGAGATAAAAATCTTAGTACACTTAAATATGTGGAAATACAGAAGTTAATACCTACCTTGATATCGGTCTCTAAATCTATACCTAACAAGGCCTACATAATTTGAGTTGCTTTATAAGCTATGTTCTAATACTGTGTTTGAGTTTGCAGATGGAAGCTTATCTTCACAATTTAATGAACAATAATAGCATTATAACTCTTAATATCTTTAATGAGCAGCTGTAATAAAGTTCTTAACCTTTTCAAGATGGCTGTGTGCCAAGTTTTAAGGTTAATAAAATAATTTAAGAGTAACTACGAAAATTCCCTCATTCATGTGGAAGACTACACATTGTGTTCTTGCATATAGAATTTGGAAATAAGTCTAAGTTGTCTCAGGGCTAGCCATCTGAAAATATTATGTTTTGGAAAGTTCAGCGTGCTTATCTGAGCACATTCTGTGACTAGGGCTTCTAGGGAAATAAAGTGAACCTGTTGGAGCTGTAATTGAATGGGTTTGCTATCTAGGCTCACTTTTGTGCACCAATCCCCCAAGGAAAAGTTTGTAAGGGAGAAAACCTACCAAAGAAGTGGATAATGATATACTGAATTAGTTTATAGCCTAGGAAAAGCAATAGGAAGTGTTCTTCTTGAGGACAGCTTAAAGAATGAAGTTCTGGCTCGAGTGCCGTATTAGGTGGGCACAATAAAAACACCTCCCTGTGTTTTAATTAAGATCTTAAGAAACAAGCTTATTTCTGAGTCAGCTTGATTCAGACCACTCATCAAAGAACTGAAAGAAATCCCTGAAGATAAAAATGAGAAGGAAATCAGGAAAACAGAATGTACAGGTATCAGAATATTACTTTTAGTTCTGTAAACTTATTGCTAAGTTGCCTTAATTATTGCTGTTTAAAATAAACTTTTCATACTTTGACTATATTCAGGGACTAAATTTTCTAGCTTGTTAAGCTGTTTGCTTATTTTAATCTAGCCCCTAAAACCTGAAAAATCTGAATGCACAAACCCAGCTTAACTGCTGATGTCTTCATATACTCCTGGTAAACTTAGTTTAGTATTTCATACACCACCTTGGCTTAGCCAAGAATTTCTGTTCTCATTTTGTACATCAGGCGGTTTTATCTTAGTGTGCAAAAGCTTACAGAAAAGCCTGCTATGGCTGATTTTAAAGACTATAGCAGCATCTGATTTAAGTATAGTGCTGGCTAAATAACCACAGCTGCTACACTTTTTTGGTTTCATATTCTTAAGTAGTGTATGCACTCCAAAGGAAGATTGTGGGGCAAATGACTTGCCTAGAGCAGCTACAGGAAGCTATTCTAGAACCATCTCCAGAAGAGACGCCTTTATCTGGTAGTTGTGATATGGTCATAGAAATCTCATTTCATTGTAATCACTTGTGGATAGATAGTGTTTTTGAATAATGTTTTTTAAGTAGCACTTACCTAGATTTTCTTGAAACTCAAGTATTTTTCCTACTACCTTAGTATTCATAAGCATCTTTTTTTTTTTGTCCGTTCTCAAGTCTTCACATTACTTCAGTTAAATTTCTAGGTGACTTAAACATTTGAGTCAAAATACTTTGTAAAGTTGGTGTTTTCTATAACTTGAACCTTGAAAACCACTTGGAAATACTTGATACTGATGAATAACTGAGAGGACTTGCAGGCAGAAGCAAGAAAAAAGTAGACCTGGTATTTGGGCTTGGTTACTTAAGTTCTATACATCACTCCCTCCAAGTGATTTGGTCATTGAGTGTTTCTGAGTAGCACTACAGAGGGAAGCTGTCACTCAGGAAAGGTGAGATGTTCCTTGTAAGCTGTGCCCAGGTTGCCTCCTGTTGGAAGGTGAGCACACAGGCAAATGGAAACAAACTCTTATTTCCCTTAATTAAAGTCAAGTGTGTGTATATAGTTAAGGTTTTCCATTTAATATAGCAAGTACTGATTGTGCATTCTGCTAAATGCTGTGTTCGTTTAATATAACATTTTATCTATGTTTCTAATGACACTTTTGACTTAGAGGTAGGCTTCTGTATTGCAATGTAGCATGTGATGTACTTTAATGCTTGATTCTGAGCTTAGTGTATCCACCAGGCAAAGAGGTGGTTATCTTAGATGATCAACTTAAATGCTTGACATAAACCCTGTTGAACAGAGTAAACATATTGTTAGCACTTCTCAAGTATTTACCAAAAAGTTACTGTTTCAAATGTGTTTGAGCTCTAGGTGATCTAAGATTTAGTGCTTTATTGAAACTTAGACACATCTTTGCTTCTATCAATTGCAAGCACCTTCAGTTAAATTGTAATAAATCTTACTTCTAGATTGTGTGGGGAGTATTCTTCATCATTGTGGCACTGCTCTTCACTGTCTCTCTATTCTTGTCAAAGTAAGTACCTTTCAATATTTTTCTTAACCACTTAAACTCCATAGTTTCTGCTCCAATGTTGAAATCAGGTGGCTTGCTTCAAGAGTCACACCACTTCTTTTTGACGCTACATTTCCATAACTAGAGCTGCATTTCTCATTGTAATAGTATATACTGACACCAAGCAAAAACTGCTAAAACAGATTCAAAAAAAGGACATGGTTCAGTTTGACTGTATGCTGCTGAAAACAGTTCTGATTCAGCAGACAAATTAAGCATTTACATTAAGGAAGTTTAATTCCGATTGCAGAAATACTCTGATTGCTTGAATGAATCTTAATGCATGTAGGTGCTACTTGGGCTGGGTAACAGGTGCTTAAATTCTTAAAATCATAGAATGGTTTAGGTTGGAAAGGACCTTGAAGATCATCGAGTTCCAACCCCCCTGCCATGGGCAGGGACACCTCCCACTAGACCAGGTTACCCAAGGCCTCGTCCAGCCTGGCCTTGAACACCTCCAGGGATGGGGCCTCAACAACCTCTCTGGGCAACCTCTTCCAGTACCTTACAACCCTCAAAGTAAAAAACTTCTTCCTAAATTCTTGCTGCAAATGACATGTATAATCCATTATGATGTGCATTACATTGTAGTTTTTTCATGGCATTGAAAGCAATATAACCAGCTGCAAATCTGGTGGATTTCAATGAAGATTGACACTAACCTGAGGTTTCAAATGTAGGCATTTTTAATTTTTCAGGCTGGGCAAATAAGCTCTGTGACTCAAACTAGGGAAAACCTAGAATTCCAAAGACATGCAGATATCAATATACCTTTTCATAAGACGAGTGCAATGACTGGGATAAAACAAAGCATGTGTCCATATAGATACGAAAAAGCTGTCAGTCTCTGGGCTTATTTCAGCTTTTTTGAGCTGCCTTTTTAAGTTAAACTGAAGACAAAGCTCTGGGAGAACCATGCTACTTAATCAATTTTTCTTAATTACTGCAGTTTGGACAAAGCTCTGCATTCAGCTGGCTTCGACTCAGGATTTATAATTTTAGGAACTAATCTGACAAATCCATTGAATATGCTGTTACCTGTTCTTCAAACAGTAAGTAAAAAAGATTGCTGTTATACACATGTAAGGATGTTCCTCTCTTTTCTGGTAAGCTGTCAAAAGGCAAACTATGTTTGTCCCCAAGTAATTCATTAAAACAAAATTGTCTAGGTGTGTTCTGTGAAAGCAAGGCAACTTCACTGTTAACAATCTTTTAGTTAGTAGATACTGATATGAAAATCTTGGGTGGATAGAAGCTAGTTCCTGGAGGAAGGTGGTGCTTGAAACCAACTTTCCTCTGATGAGAACATAGTGACAATGAAGAATGACATCACTTGTAGTTATGCACAGAATAAAAGCCACCTTCTCCCATGCCCTACCGACATTCTAGTTGGTTTTGTACTTGACAGTTTATCCCCCTTAAGTGAAGTAAATGCGTTTTTTCACTTTTTAATGCTTATTGCACCTTTAGAGATATTACACTCTGTGCAATTATGTATGCTATAATAATGCATTAGTCTTTGAAACAAACCCTACATGAGAACAGGCATATGTTAACTTCATTAGGCTGGAAGGCAACAAGGCCACATATGAATTTGGCAATCAGTCATGGGTAAGCTAAGAAAAAGAAATCCTTAATGTAAGATAGTGCTTTATTCTCCCCTAGTGGAGTTCTTTCCATATTCTTGGTGTAGTGGGTTGGCACAATGCATTGTATCACCATGGTTTCATAAACTATTGAACACCTAAACTTGCAGTTTACTGAGAAAAATAGAGTCTAGCAGCAGTATTATCTCAAGCTGTTATTAATGTAAATATAAAAATAAGCTTTATATGCAAATATGTTCAGAAATATTCACAAATAGAATGCCTATACAGTCCTAAAATGACTATTGCCACTCTGGACCTGCTCTTAAATGTGCTTTCAGAACGGAATTGAGTATTTGTTGGCCTAAAAATGTGCAACACTTCAAAATTAAGGCAAGCTTTAAATTAAGCAAAATGCTCAGTTGCTTTCCCGAGCTAATTGTATAGGCTTTATTAGCAGCAAGCTATATTAGCAGTATATGAAGCCAGCTATGTAAAACCTTTAAATGGAAGTGCTGGTAATACCTCAGCTGCTCTGAGTAGAAACTGCTTATTGAGCTTTAAGTGGGGGAAGAGCTTGTTTTCTAATTTAAATGTTGTCTTGTCTTTTTAACTGGTTGTGTTCTTGTTTTAGGTTTTTCCACTTGATTATATTCTTATTACAACAATTGTTATGTACTTTATCTTCACTTCAATGGCAGGGATTCGAAACATGGGTATATGGTTCTTCTGGATAAGGGTAAATATGACTCAAGAGTTTAGTTTGTAATACTCAGTGAGATGTTTAATAAATATGTGATACTGAATATATTTAATATACTCATTATTTTTGTACTGCTTCATAAATACTGGATGTGGCAAATAGCATTGTCTGTATGTCTGAGTGTTAGAAGCCTATTATAGAATTTTCACCGCGTTTGAAAGGTGTTCTGTTTTGCTAAGTTATCAGAACAAAACTGATGTTTTAGTAGTACAGTCAGCTGACTTTTTCAAGTGTTTAATCAGTGGCGCTTGTGGCTTCTGACTTTTCTAAGTTAAAGCCATATGATTCTGATATACTGGAAGTATTAGTGAATTTTACGGTCAAAATCTGAAATTGCACGCAGTCAGTAGTAGTGCCTGACTTAGTTTTTATGTGGCAACCAAGTTTTTTTTAGCTTAATGAGAGATAAAAATGTACAGTGATGGTATGGCATATCTAAATGATGCAAATAATATATTACAGTATTAGAAGAAGCAGCTTTGTATCCAACAGTATGCCATTCATACCTGTGATGCTTGGTTAAATATTTCACTGCGTCTGTGCCTACTTTCCTTTTAATACTGCCACCCTTTCATATGGTGACACCACGAAATTGTCAGTAGTGACCCTGAGTCCTTGCAGTGAGTCGTGAGATTGGTTTCGGTCTTCCTTTGTTTACCCCTCAGCTGCTGGTGTCTTTACCCTAATATGGTTCTCCCGCTGAGCCTTTGAGGATTACAGAGTAGTGGTATCTGTAGGGTGATGGTGAGCGATTATATTGTTCCCTGCAGAGTAAAGTGAAAAAGATGCCACCACATGGTCCGCAAGTTTTCTCAGGGCCTGGGAATACTCTCTCATAACTCCCTTCTGTTTCTTGACCTCATTAGAGGTGTAGTGACAGACACCTCACCTTGACTGAAGGCACAGTTTATCAGTGATAGCCAATGTCATTTATATCTTGCTACTAACTGCTTGTTTATGTCTGGGTCACTAATACAAACAACAATTAATTTGGTTCAATAGCTGTGCTTTGAAATTCAGGTAAATACACCTCAAAACCTGCTTGGACTCATTGGAATTAAGTTGCCAGAGCATAATTTTAGCAGCCTCTCACTTCTGTCAGTAGAATTAAAGCTGTTACTTGAATTAAAGAGAATCTAAAATGTCTTCAGGAAAAAAAAAAAACAACTATGCTAATATTTGTTTTCTGTTTTTTAGCTTTATAAAATCAGGCGAGGAAAAACTCGACCTCAAGCACTCCTGTTTCTCTGTATGATACTTCTGTTGATAGTTCTTCATACAAGTTACATGATCTACAGTCTTGCCCCTCAGTATGTAATGTATGGAAGCCAAAAATACCTGGTACAGGTGGGATATAATACTTTTTTTTTTAAATAACCTTACCTTCTGTATGAAAAATATACTGTTTACAGTGACTTTTAAAGCCAGGCCCATTCTTAGTTTTGAAGACTTTTGTAGGCAGTTTTTTAAACTACGAAGTTTTTGCTGGTACACAAGCCAGAAACTGGTTGTACTATATATAAAACAACTTAATTCCTAGATTGTCTTCAAACAATGTAAAACTTTGTCTTCATTTGTCTTTATAAAAGACAAAGTTTTTATAAAGACAAATTTATCAAAAGTAGTAAAGCAATATTTTATAAGACAGCTGCTAGCTTTCACTAGATCTTGTACTGGTATGCTTAGGTCACTGAGTGACTGCAGTGAGGATTATGTTTAGTGGCAAGGCTCTCTATAGACTGAAAGCAATGTTGTTCCACAGTTGATAGTTTTTATGTGCACATTTGTGAGAAATTACAGAGATAACTTGGTACAGTAGAGGATAATAATCAGAACAAAGCTGAATAGGTGCTGATTAATCATATTTCAGCCACTTTGGACTCTCAAAATCCATGAAACTTGTTGCAGTTTTTGTTCTATAAAATCTTCCACAGAATTAAGTGGTTAACATTAGTCTCTACTTTTGTTATTGTGCTTTTGTGTACTTCAAGGTTTGGGTTTTTTAAAGTCTTTCACCTTCTGTACCTGAAGGCTTTCATTCTTGTATTTCATCTTCGTTTGAATGGAGGCCTGCATATTTGTGGGGTAGTTCAAAGTTACACATCATGAACATCTTGAAGTGGTTTCTGGATAGCTGTTTACCAATATCTGGTATCCTACAGGGGTAGGCTTTGTTAGATCGGATCTTGCAAATGCAGACAACTGTGTCATGAACTGGTTACTCATATTCAGGCACAAAGAAGTCCAGATCTCTTGGTGTGCTGTTTGGGGTTTAAGTTGAAGTTTCACAAAGCCAAAACAATTGAGCCAGAGTGGTTGGGAGAAGGGATTTAAATGAGACTGAAGTAACTGGGTGCTGCTTTGAGCATTTGGAATACTTCAACTAGTTTTCCAGAAGGCTGCTCCTCTGGGAGAACACAGTGCTTTTTTTAAAAAAAAAAAAAAAAAAAACCCCAAAAAACCCCACAAAACCAGTTGCCCACCAACCTTCAGCTGAAAATATTTAGTATGATGTGTAACTTATCACTATCAATTCTTTCAGTTTAAACAGAGTAGATGCAGAATACTTTGAGCAAAAGAATTACAAGGAGAAATTGAAGTTGAAGTAGTGTTAAAACATGCTAGAGAAGAGGGACCTGATCTACTTAAATGTGCTGAGTGGATGTGGTAGAATTGTCACTGCAGGAGGTGAAGCATTCAATAAATGCTACTTTTCTGCTGTCTTTATATTTAAATTGTGTCTGGTAATAGGAGGTTGGTCATCCTGCTATCAATCCAAGCACAATAATATAATCAGTGTATGGGACTTGAATATTTGGTATTTAGGAAGTTTAATGCTTTTTTATTAATTTTATGCTAGATATAACCAATACTAAATAAACATGCTTAGTCTCAACTTTTCAGAATTAGGGTAGTAACAGCAAGAAACTAAGCTGAAAATCAGTTTATGAAAGTGGTTTGTTTCTATGGTAAGTTTACACAGAACTCCTGGCATGAATACTTACTGTGTATGTGGCCTAGAACATCATATAACTAGCTGAATGATTTCTCAGCGCAAGTCCCTGCAAAAGACAGTTTGTGTTTTTTAGTACTGTAGACTGATTGTATGTCTCTAATTACAGTGCAGAAGCATTGTGGGTGTAAGGGTGGGAAGGACAATTTCATTAAGGTTCCTATCACGCTAGTCTTTAAGCCTTTCAGTGACCTGAGAAAAGAATCCTTCATGATAAAGCTTGGAGAAAAGCAAATAAGACTGTAGCTAGCAGTTTTGTTTTGCTTTATGAAAAAAAGGGCAATGTTTCAATAAAATAAAATGTGTGTATAGTGAGGAGGACAGAAGGACTGGGACTTAAACAGCTAATGTCAACTGTTTGTTATGACAAATAGTATCTGAACATAGATATATAATTTGTAATGAAAAGGGTCAAGAGAATGGAGCACAGCAGTAGGGAGGCTCTTATGTCATTCAAACAGATACTGAAATAAAATCTTGGTCAACACTGTAACAAGGATTAGCTGGAATGGTTGAACAGAGCTACAACTCTTCATTTAATGGATTAAAAAAATCTTATGGTAAAGACAGCCATCCTGGGTCTTTAGCTCCTTATGTCCCATTTCGAAGAGCTGCATTTAAAGTGCGTAAAGTAACTTGGGTAGAAATTGGTTTATTTTTAAAATAACATCAAGCATAAAGTATATGCTGATAAACTACATCTGGACTCTTCTGGCATACCAAGTAAATACAGTGTTTTCAGACAATATCTTCTCAAAGAATCTTTCAGAATGTGCCAGACGTGCTTTCTGTGTCTGACTACCCTGATAAATTTATGTTAAATATTTGTGTTTTGAAATGAGGAGAGATGGTGACTAGGAATGAAGAGGAGTGACAGATTTTTCCGTGGATGTTAGCAATGGAGAGGTTCTTAAGAGTCACGAATTGGTTATTATGGAAGTGAGGAGTGGTCAGGAACATACGGAGGATCTGGGCAAGTGAATACATTTTGTGCATATGGCAAGCTCCCTGGTGATAGAAGCTATATGCACCAGTTTGCTTAGAGTCTAGACTTTCATTGCTGACACACACCACAGTCAATTTCATCATTTAAAGTAACACCACTGGTAACCAACACTGTACAGAACCAAGCAATAAATGAGCAATATTCCAAGTCAGCTTAGTGAATGAGTAGACTGATAAACATACATGTAAGAATCTGGTGGCTCACAAAAAGACAGCGGTGTAAAACAAGTGCTAGCCCCTTTCCTTTGCTCTACAGTAATTCCCAATCTAGTAACCTGTCAAACTAATTTGTAACCAAAATCTACAGTGATGTATTAGAGAGGTTAAAATTCTGTTTAAATCTTGCACTGTTTCCTTTGGAGACTGTTACTCTTGTCAAGACCTTTTAACTTTGAAGGGCTGTCAGCTTTTCCTGGTAATTGAACATGTGTAGAAAAATAGAGCTCTTGTGAGGCAATTAAAGTTAGCTACATCTGGGCTACTTGCTTTAGTTTAACTCTTTGACCATTGGGGTGTTCAAAGCATGTGTCCCCAGTTAACTGAAAGTGTCTTCAGCTATGAAGTCTGTAGGAAAGCTTTTGAAAGTTTCTTTTGGATATATTGCCCTTAGCAACTGAGGCCATATGTAGGGCTTTGGTCAACTTGCATAGCTCTAAGGAACACTTGGCATCATCTCTTAGACAGCATTTGTAGCATCTGCTAAACAGCTATGAGTCTCTTTATAGCCTTCCACAAAGGCAAAGAGTTCTATTCACATCCAGGCCTTCTCAGCTTTGTAGCAAAACCATACCTTTGCTCATACTTGAAGGGTAATTGCTATTTCTGTTCAACAAGGCCAAGGTTTTTTTTATCCATTTTTCTGAAAGAAAGACTGCTTCTTGCTGATGTTTCTACCTAGTGGACCTGTAAGACTTGACTGGCTCATACAGGAATTAAGGCCGGGCTTTGCCATAGGTGACGCTGATACTTTTCCCTGGTTGAGGGCTGGAGCAGAAGCAGTCACTTTCCGTCCTCAGCCTTCACATAGATAATTCGGAGGAGTGGAGCAAAGCTGCAGAACAGTGAGTGTCTTTGTGGTCTTCAGCAGAAGGAATCTGGAAGTATCCCTTAGATGGCCAAGTGCGTGGACAGATCTTTTTAAGTTCCTGATCCTGAACATAAGCAGAAATAAATTATATAAGTGTAACAGGCTGTAACCTAACTCTTTATATGACAGCTTGCTATTTTCTTAAGAGCTGACACATCTTTGACACTTGAAGCACATACACTGAGTTACTGTACTTGGTTTTGTTTCCTGCTTGTCCTTGAGGCATCCTGCTTTCAGCTTTGGACTGGATGTGATAACTGGAACAGTAGAGGTTTACTTTAACAATACTCATACTAAAAAAGTCTGAGACTTGAGTGCTCTACTGCATAATGATAAGTAATTTTTTTTGAAAAATTATTCTGTAGATTCATCTCTGCTGAGACTTGAGTGCTCTACTGCATAATGCTAAGTAATTTTTTTGAGAAATTATTCTGTAGATTCATCTCTGCTGTCACTTACGCATCTCTTCCATGTCCAGTCATTTTCTGTGCCCTGCGGGGCAAAAGGGGCTCTATCTCCAGTGGATGTATGCTCATACAAAAGTGCTGAGATGACAGCATTAAGGGCAAAGCTCTCATACCTTTTCTGGGAAATCGGCACAATTCGGGTGCCTCTGAAATGCCTGAATGTGAATATGTACAGCAGGGGAAACAGAGGAGGAGTTAGAAGTTTGCATGCAGTTGCAGGTCTACAGTCTCACTGGGATCAGAGATGTGAAATAGCTCACGCGATTGGAGTGCTGCCATGGCTAGGTGTAGGCTCTGTAAGAGTGGCAGGCTGGGAGGGTTAATAGGGAGAGTTGGCTTTTATGTGAGGCAGCAGTGGGAACATGTGAAGTTTTGCCTTGGGGTGAATAAGCCAGCAAAGTGCTTTTGCGTTAGGATTATTAGAGGGCAGGTCAACATGGGGATATTGTCTGCTACAGGCTGCCTGATCAGGAGGAGGTAGTAGATGATCCCTTAAGATACCTGTAAGTAACTTCTGTTCAGTCCCTGGTCTTCATAGGAGGCTTGAGCCAGCCAGGTGTCTGCTGGAAAAGCAACACGGTTGAGCACAAGCAATCCAGGAGACTTCTGGAGCGCACTGATGAGCACTTCCTGACACAGGCAATTGAGGAGCTGAAACAGAGAGATGTTGTCTTGGACCTGGTGCTGAAAACAGGGAAGAAGTGATCAAGGACAGTCTTGGCTGCAGAGAGCATGAGATGGTGAAAGTTCAGGATCCTAAGAAGAGAGAACAGGACAAATAACAGGTTAACAACCCTGGACTGAGGAGAGCAGATTTTTGTCCTTTTCAGGGACCTTCTTGGAAGGGTTCTAGTATGTAGAAACCAATTCTGTCCTGGCAAAGGTGTGATTTGTTTTTTTTCTTTACTGTAATTTCTTTCACTGGATGAAATGATACTCTACTCTTGCTGAGTCTTACCATAGATATTGTTAGGTTTTAGTTAATCCTCTAGCATAAGTAATAACTTCCAATTTATTTCTGTTCTGTTAGCTTTGTGTAAGACTACTTTGCTTTGCCTAATACTTGTGTAGTTTGCTTTGTGTAGTACTACTTATATTAAAGAATCTTAAATGTGAATGTTAGAAATTCTAGCTACATTAAAAATGAAAAAGGTGTTCAACTGATAGAGTTGATGAGATTGCCATTCCTCTTAGCATGGCAAATGTGCTTCTAATTTTTATTGGAAGGATTAATACCGTGAAATGCTCTATTTTATATCTCTTTTTGGAATACATGTTTTTCATGTTTTTCACTTTTTTACGTCTGTTTTGTGAAAAGGTAAAAAACTTTTAGTGGACCTTTACAAGGCTTTACATTGTGTAGGAGAGAAGAGAGGATTGCTAGAGAAGGAGAGGCTGGTTTTATGATTTGAGAGCATCAGTGCCTTGAGCTTGTGGAAGACAGTTGAATCCAGATACGTCAGAAATCTTAAATTACAGGAGTGTTCATGGAGAAAAAGTGATGCCAGACCTGGAAATGCATAGATAGTATCAAAGGAAACCTGCAAGTCTAGCTATTGCATGTTGTATTTTAAATTCCTACTCATTTAAAATCAAAATGAATAAAGATAAGGAAGAAAAAAATGTGAAATAGCAAGATTCCATTTGTTCTGTGCTTTTTGTATGTCCCTGCATAATTGTACAATGTGTATATGTTATTTTGAAAGAAGCACTCTGTGACTAAGCAGTGTAAGCTGTAATGGTGACAGCAAGCTGAAATACCTCCTGGAGCTGGACCACTGCTAAATGTACACTGAATAATTGAAATCTCATGTCTTCTGATCTTATCCTATTGTTTCTGTCTACACTTTGTCCTCTTACTTTTGTTTTCACTTTAGTTCCTGATTCCTCTGCCTTATCGTACTACTTTTGGATCAGTTTCTTCTAAGGCAGCAGTGGTCTTCACGCTTCCATGTGTTTTTGTGAAGCAGTTAACTGTTCATACAAATTGCTGTTTTCAGGATAGACGCTTGGTTGTTTTTCTTCAATGTTCAGAGTGAAAGCTGAATTTACTTAATATTGATAAACTTTCTCAATTAAATTGTTAGAGAAACACTTAGGTTTATGTCCTAGCTTGTACTGATTTCTGGTAGATTTTTAAGGGACATGTTCTCTTCAGCCTGAAGCAGAAAAGGTGTTGACCCGCACTGATTTCTTTAGACTTCCTGTTTAGGGAAATCATAAAGGTGAAAGTACAGTAGAGATGAAAACCTTTGAAGTGAGTGTATGAAGAAATCAATGTAGTACAAAGGATTTGTATTGGACTCTGCTAAAATTATTCACTGATTATTTAAAAGTCAGTGTGGTACATAAAGAGTTCATGTAGTCTCTGAAAGGGTCCATTTTCCAAGGATTGGAGATTTTTAAACAGGAATATTTGGGTTTTAAATAGTCCACTTCAGCGTAATTTGTCTTCCTGCACTCTGGCTATCTGAGTACATCGAATACTATCGTCTGGCTTTCAGACCAGAAGTAAATTGTATTTGGTATCATTATGCAAGCCTAACACTTCCATGGTGTCTTCATCACCAAAGTTGAATTCCAAATTCATTTTATACATAGTTAAAAGGTTTAATTTCAGAGACGAAGTCTTTATTTTTCACTAGTCTTCAAAAAAGACAAGCTATTATTTTTTCTAAATGATAGCATATTTAGGAATGTTCATGTTGTACCACTTATAGCATACTCTGCATATACTGTGCAAAAACAATTTTAATTGTTTTGAATATTGTAAGAGATTTGTCAAAGCCTTTTTTATAAAATTAATTTATTGGGAGATGTGTTTGTTTTGGGGGCTGTCGTTGTGTATGGAAGAACATTGCTGGGAGACTAGTGTACTAATTTTCCATATTTATAATGCAGAGTAATAAGACAATTGATGGCCAGCCAATGAATGTGACAACATTTGTATCTAAAGACTGTGATGCAGATGCACCTGAAGGTAAGAGAAATTAAGTTCTTGTATTCTTGTATTTACTATGTCATTACAGCTGGGCAGCCATATGTAAGCAGCTTAGTCTTTTCATGGCTTTGATTTGCTTTGTACATATGGCTGCCCAGCTGTAATAAGCAGCTCAGTCTTTTCATGGCTTTGATTTGCTTTGGTCTAATATGAAGCTTTGATGCATAGCTATGTCCAGAAAACAGCTTGTTACAGCTTATTTAATTCATTTGAAGAAATAGCTATTTTTAGTAGAAACAACATGTAACAATGCCTTCCAGTTAACTTGAAAATCTCCCATTTGCTTTAACATGTATGTAGAAGACCTTAAATATAAACCCTAGCTGGTGAATAGTTTATACACTGAAGTGACACTTCAGATGTTTATCATACAAAGATTCAAAGAAGTATTCTATTAAATCTCGGAATGAACTCAGCAAAACTAAGATCTGAACTTCCCAATGCAACTTTACAGAGAAGGGTTCTTCAATTCTGCAACAGTACCAGTGGAACTTGACATCTTAGGCTATTTTCCTGTAATCCTTTCACTCTTAATTTGTCATTCCCTGTAAGATCCGGTATAACTCTTGCTCATCTGTGTTATTAACCATCCCTTTTTGATAAGTTATTTGAGCAGAAGATGCAGTGTGGATCTTCTGGAGCTGTGAGGAGTGACTAGCAAGCAGATGAATAATTGTGGAGCTTTCCTAGACTTTCCATCTATGCAGGCATTAATGTTGATTTTTCTTTTTGAGAAAGAATAGTAATAGTCTTTATTCCTCTGTGAAACTTGGCTAAAGCTGGGAATGAGTTTTAACCTGGGTTTGTTTTTAAAAACAAAACAACAAGCTAACTGAAATCATGCTTGATTTCTTTATAATGTTGTCTTTTCCCTCCCTTTTCCTCTGCATATAAAGAATTTTTGCACGGTTTGAATTGGTGTAGCCATTGCAATTGTGGTACTGCTGTTTAAGGTCACCATCAACTTTGAGTGCTTTAGTCTCCTGTTTAAAAAAATTGATCTCAGCAAAGGATTTATGGCCTTCAGAATGGCCCAGATTTTTTTCAGGCTGAAGCTTTCAATTGCTCTCACTCTGGCAAATTTTCAGCTCCTCTGTATAAAGAGGAGTTGAATTATATATGCATTTATATACTTCCAAAAAGGCTTAACAGTGTTTGTTAACGGATAGAAAAGATAATAGCTGTCCTGCATTCTCATCTTATAATCAGTATTCTGTAACTACTGAATTCTGACTATGCTTCTAGAAGATGTTAGCAACTACCTCAGGTTTTCTTCCTACTTGTGTTATTGGAAAAGATAATATTTAATTTTAAACAATTTTTGTACTAGTGGAGGTAACTGCAGCATTAGTTCTTTGTTCCCCTCTATCAAGTCGGGGTCTCTTTTGCAAGGTGGTTCCTGTGTATTTAAACTCATCTTCAAATTTAGTGTGTAGGTGTTAGTCTTACTCCTGGTGATTTATATCATTTCCCAAGGGGGGGTGGATTTTTCTTCTGTCTCCTCTGTACTTCAAATACATCATTCACCCACCTTTTATTTTTGATGGCTATTTTTAGACTTAATGCAGTTTTAAGTGTTTTGGTATTTTGTCAAATGTAATTGTTCGACTCATATTTAAGCTGCCATATTTTTGTGATTAAAAATAGAAACTCTTTTGTGGCAGAGTTTAGAAGAGCAAAATCTGTCATCTTTCAAAATGAGATCACTTTGAGCAGGTTGTATGGATCTTTGTATCGACTGGCGTCAATAAGCTCATTAGTCTTGACTTTTCTGGGAGAAATTCAAGTAGTCTGGTTTCCTCAGGCTTTGTTGCTTAATCACAGGAACTGGGGTTGGACTGAAAAAACTTTCTAAATTCCACCTATTCTTGATACTTTTTTGAGTACTTCAAATACTTTACATGATTTTTTTTCCTACTTTGCTTTGATGGAAACTACATAGCTGATGCTTAAAACTGGTTTTCTGATGTGCTGAACACAAGATTTGGCCTGTGTAAATGATGGCTTTGGTTTGCCATCATTGATGTGTTGTTGCACTGGGTATCTTTGAGTCACGTTCTTGTTTCTTAATAGGAAAGAGGTGGAGAAGGTGTTGATAGGCTGTCCTATGCTAGCCTACTGTAAGTAGAAGATGGATGGATAGTTCTTAAATGTGTACCTTAATGTGATCAAAAGGCTATAGTGGAGTTCTGTTAACTACAGATATGGTTGGGCCACTAAAGTGTTTTTCTAAATAAAAGAAAAGTTTCTTTTGTAATGCTCAACTTCAAAAAAAAAAAAAACCTAAAAAACCCACCCAAAAAACAAAAAAAAACCCAAAAAAACAACCAACCAAAAAACCCCTTGTTTTATTAAAAACACTTTATTCGCTGTTTCATCCAGTCAGTTTTAGAAAGCGGAAATGTAATGCTTGCATTGGAATACCTGCCATTTTTAATACTTACTAATTAAAATAACTATTGTAAATGCTAGTCTTATGCTCTGCGATCAGACAGAATATGTTGACAAGTGAAACTTATTTCAAGGGTAGGGACTAGATTTTTTTTAATACAATTTCCCTTGTTTTTAAGGATACTAGACACAGAGCCCAAATAGGTACAACTAACTTCAAGTTAAGATAAAGGTTGGCCAAGCACTTGTAGGTTTTATTGACTTCTCTGCTACTAGTCTTTTATCTTATGTAAACCACTGAACTGGAACTAAGTGTGAATATTGATTGGTGTTCTCAGCACTTTATTTTGTTTTATTTAAACTGATTTAATTTTAACAGGTGTTTTTCCTTAAATGTAAAATAAACTGCGACCTTTTAATGGCTGTGCTGACAATCAAGCTTATAGCAATCTGCTCAGTTTTATTCAATACTCAGTTGTTGTAGGTATGATCTCCACTTACTGTAACTAAGTACAGGTTTTTCTTTCTGAGATGGTGGGAGAGACCTTATCTGATCTTGTCATAGCAACTAATACTATCAAAAACTTCAGTATTGTTAAAACTTCCGGTTTAATGGACAGCGTTTTCTGTATGTGTTTCAAACCAGTGTTTGACTTGATGAAATGACAATTACATTTTCTAGGGAAACATAAGGCAGCTAAAACAGTCTTATAAAAACCACACTCTTATGTATTTATGGTTAAATATCACATTTGTGGGGTTTTAGCATTGTATTGTCTGCTTTCATGCAGCAAAGCTTGTCTCTGTTGACTCCTGGTATGCAGGAGTTGTCTGCTTTATACTGTAAAGGCCATAAGAGCATAACTACATGAAACAGAACAGAAGCCAAAAAGTGATAGAGCAGACTGCGTCTTATAACTCAATAAAGTACCTTGTGTTAGTTAAATTTAAAAATATTGCACAAAAGGCTTGAGTTCTGGTTAACATAGGCTTTTTTAAAGCTTTTTAAGTAGTCTTAAAACTTTAGTAATCAGGGGATTGGAACATCTCTCGTATGAAGAAAGGCTGAGGGACTTGGGTCTCTTTAGTCTAGAGAAAAGAAGATTGAGGGGGGATCTTATTAATACTTACAAATACTTAAAGGGAGGATGCCAGGGGGATGGAAGCAGTCTTTTTTCAGTGGCGCCCAGTGATAGGACGAGGGGGAATGGGCATAAACTTGAACATAGGAAGTTCCATCTTAACGTGAGGAGGAACTTCTTTACTTTGAGGGTAGTGGAGCACTGGAACAGGCTGCCCAGAGAGGTGGTGGAGTCTCCCACTCTGGAGACATTCAAAACCCGCCTGGACGCTGTCCTGTGCAACCTGCTGTAGGTGACCCTGCTCTGGCGGGGTGGTTGGACTAGATGATCTCCAGAGGTCCCTTCCAACCCTAACCATTCTGTGATTCTGTGATTCTTTTGGAGCAACAAACTTAATATATTTGTTATAGACAAAACAAGCGTTAGTTTTCAGTGTTCGATATGATTGAGCAAAGATTTCATTTGATCCTTTTCAAGGACTAATGCCAGCTGAGCTGTTGAGTCCACAGTTCAGTTGAGCATAAGGTCAAGCAAAGGAGTTCAATTATGTGATTAAGACTCTTGCAGATGGACTAATGCACTGAAAACTTGGTATAGGTTTGGCTAAACAGGTTAATGAGATTTAATGTAAGTGAGCAATGACTCAGCTGCAAGCCTGTACATAAGACTTTTCCCAACCGTAACGATGAGATTTGATAAACTCCATCTACCTCGTTCTAGATCAGAAAACCATGAAGGCTGTTTTTAACTATCACTCACTTTAAATCCATAACATGCTATGAATGTCCCTTGGATTCTCTCATTTCCTTAATTGAGGAAAGGAGCCTTACCCGAGGCTTGCTAAATGCTGGGTACAGTCTGTCTGCTGGGCTTTTTGCATAGACCTGCACTGACTCTTAACTGCCTGTAAAGTAGAAAAGAAAAAAGTTATTTTGATTTCTAAGGCTTTGAACTGAGCAGGAATTGCTGTGCTAATTAGATCTGTGCCTTCTTATAGGACTCTGTCAGCTGGAAGTCAACAAGTGTAAAATCTCTGGCTTTATTTTAGTCTGAGTAAAGACTAGATATAGACAGTACTCAAGCTGGAAAGGAACTCCATATATGAATGCCAAAACAGGAGCATATTCCTTATTTCTCCTTCAGAGAAATCCAGGAGGCATGCGATGTGAAAGCAGAAGCAAGTTGCTCAGAACCTTCAATATTAGTAATTTTGTGTTACTTTACAACCCTAGATTACCACTTCCAAATGATTGTTTTAAATTAATTAATTTGCAGAGTTATAAAACGCTTCACAAAAAGCTTAAATGAGGATTTTGGTGAGGAATTTATCCATTTTCCTATTACTTTACTGAATGACCTTACTAGTACTTTACCCTGAATCTCTACATATACCTAACACTTTTGAAGTCCTCTAATACTGAGAACTCAATATAAATAAGCACGATGGTGCGCGTTTCACTGCAGAAAGCCCTGTTTGGCAGCTGTAAATAATATGAGTAGCTAAGA